CTTACAGAGCTGCGTTCCATCGAGAGAAAAAGAGCAAAAGACAGAATCTAGAAGGAAGAAATAACATCTTAGCCACCAGAAGGAAGAGCGGCAGCTAATTTCTCCCCCCGCGAAGAAATGCCTTACGGCGGTACCATGGGGGATCAGAGGATAGAAGAGAAAGGGGTTTAGGGTTTAGTGGGTAGGGGCGTCAGCGTCGAGTTTTAGTATGACGCTGCGTTGAGTCGCCACATATCCAGGCCAAACAGCTATGCCTAGAATCCGTAAAAAGGATTCCCTTCCTAAGGAAAAAAAAACACACACACACACCCCTGCGATATCTAGGGGTTATGATAAACGAGAAACTATCTTTCCGTGAACACCTCGACACTGCATGCAAGAAAGCCAGCAAGACTGTGTCTAGCCTAGCACGAATTATGACCAACACCATGGGACCAAGAACAAAAAAGAGAAGAGTTCTCCTAGAAGCAGTCCACTCGGTACTACTGTATGGAGCGGAAATATGGGCAGACATATTAAAGCAGAAGACCTACCGGCGGAAAATAGCAGCAGTGCAGCGGCGAGGCGCTCTCAGAGTTGCCTGCGCCTACCGCACGGTTTCCGAAGCGGCTGTACTGGTCATTGCGGGAACTGCGCCCATCGACCTATTAGCATTCGAAAGAGCAAGACTCTACGACGCTAAAATCAGTGGCGAAAACATGAAGGAGGCAATAACGAGGATAAAAACGGAAAGGCAGCAAGAGTGGCAGGACCGATGGACGTCGGGAGAGACAGGCAGATGGACAGCGCGACTGATCCCAAACATTAACGCCTGGCTCTCTCGGAAACACGGGGACACGGATTTTTTCCTGATCCAACTACTGACAGGACATGGGTAGTACAACGCCTATCTCTTCAAGATGGGTCTACACAACACACCAACATGCAAATACTGCCCGGATAAAATAGACGACACTGAACACACATTCTTTAAGTGTGCTCGGTGGAAGGACTACAGAAGAAACACCGAAGAGATCATTGGCAGCAGGCTCTCCCCCTAAAGCCTGGTGACCTATATGATCAAACAAAAGGAAAACTGGTCAGCTGTTGCAGCTTATGCACAGCAGCTCCTGAAAGACAAAATCGCAGAAAGAGACCAGTAGCCAGGAGTAGGCGTCGTGAGACGCAACACGGCTGGATTGAAGTAATCCTAACGCGGTTCCAATCCAGTCCTCCCCGTACCATCTAGGGGAGAGAGGAAGAGGAATGTTTTTTTTAGTGGGTAAAAAACTCCACACTACCGACTATCGATATCTGCCGAAAGATGGGCGGCAGAGTTAACGATAGCGGTATCTTTTGAAGATCTTTTTTGTACCTCTTTGGAAAAAAAAAAAAAAAACACACACATACACACACGTACATACAGACATAGTGACACCCTCGCGGGAATAGTCAGGAAAGCTTCCTAGGACCTCGAAACGTCGAGATTCGATGAAAACTCGATTTTCGTAAAATGGGGTGAAAACAATAACTTTCCGATTTTTGAAAATCTTTGATTTTCTTAGCGGGAAGTTAAAAATCAAAGTTATCGTATATTTTAAGTGGGAAATCTTCACACGCTGTGTAGGAGTACTTAATATACATATTAAGGGCTCAAAGTTTCAGGGAATTTTTTTCGGTGTATTTCAAACAAAATTTTGGGATGGGAGCGATAATAAAATAGTCGCAAAAAAAGCACGCTAATATACATATACATATTTTAGCATATTTTTAGAAATGTATGCTGCACCACAAGTTCCAATGTCCATCGTGCTCCATTAAGTGTATTTAAAATAATCTGTCTTAGTTGATTGTTTTTTCGAGGTTTGTTTTTCAAACATACAATGATGAAGAAATTCATTTACAACTAAATAAAAACTCAATCATGTCTTTTTAATTTGTTATTTATAATACACTAGTCCATACTACGTGATTTGTCGGTGATAAAAAATAAACAATTTATTGCTCATAATTTATGAGTCACAAATAAGTATGTTATGCGCACAGTGATAATAATCTACACTACACATTAACTTTTTTGAAAATCCCTGATTATTACAACTCTTATTGCTCAACCTAGTTTTATGATTTTTTTACACACGGCATAAGAAAATAAACTTCATTTAATAATCTAAACTATATCTTCTTTCCAGTGACATTATTCCTGTAAAATATTTCTATCATCACAAGAAATACGTTCATCGATTAACTACTAACAATTTGGCTTAGTCATAATTATAATTGTGTTCTCATAAAAATAAAATAAAATGGTAATTTACGGAAGATCATTCATTTTCAAGTATCAGTGAACCTTTACTCTCAAGATATATACTCTTTTGTTTCAAATAACAATGAATTTCTTATGACTCTGTTACTCTGATTTTTGTTATTTATGTAAATATGGTGAAATGTTTTATTAAAGCGATAACTTAATGTATTTTACAAAGGTTTCTAACAGTTAGCTATTTTTCAAAATTTTTACAAATGAATACATATATATATATGTCAATGTTTACATTTAACTATTCGATAGCACCTATCGCGCTGCCTGCGGACCTCACGTAGCTCTCTCGTAATCCAGGGAGCTGGACCACGCTTGGGAGTAAACTCACGAACAGGAACACACTGTTCGACGACATCCTTGATCAAGCTATTAAGCTTGTCAAGTCGTGAGTCAACAGATTGCAGCGAGAGATCTTGATCTTAGTCAAGTTCGTACAACTTTGCAGAAACCAGATCAGTTGCTGCAGCAAGATCAGCTTCTTTCCACGACAGACACTTTATCAGTTTCATTTCAGGTTTGGGATGTTTATACTTGACACAAAAGTAAATCAGGTCATGAGATGACAGAAAAGGCTGGCCTGATTGCCCCCACGAATCAAGAGCTGCTAGGTGACTGACAGCACAGATATCAATCCAAGTATTAGCATCTGCAGTGTGGTTGGTGGGCTCAAGAGGAACAATACTCATGCCTGTTCTAATAAAGAAGTCACGTAACCTCAGTGCTTTGTCGTTATTGACTAGAAGGTCTGCGTTAAAATCACCAAGGACACATGCAAAGCGATAACTAATCATCCTGGGCGTAAAGTCATCTTCAAACATACACATGTAGCCTGCTTTTGGTGGCCGATAAACAATGGCAATCAAGATTTTATGCTGTGATGGACCCCATACCTCTGCGATGAGGTACTCCGGCAATATAACTTCTCCAGCTCCAGCTGACGAGCTAATCAGACGAACACTGAGTTCCTTTCTCACGTAAAGAGCTACTCCGCCTCCACGCTTGCTATGACGGTCGACACGCAGCATCGTATATTCCGGTAAGTCAACTTGACAGTCTGATATCGCATCACAAAGCCATGTTTCCACAACTCCTATCACATGGTATGGGTTCACCCTGAAGAACTCTTGAAATTCGCAAAAATGTGCTAGCAAAGATTGAGCGTTGAGTGAGCAGATGTTGAGTTCAGTAAAATCAGTATTGTTAGCAGCAATTGACGTTGGAAGAGACCCAAATAGTTAAATAGCAAGCTGTTCTAAGTTCGTCGACGGCAAAATTTTCACCGGCCGATCATCTTTTGTTTTCCTCAAAAAGACCACCCCGTCAGCAATCCAGATGTGCCTGCGATCCACATTGGGAAAGGCCTTTAGCACGCGATCCCTTAGCTGATGAAGCTGAGCTGGCTGACGATGATTCACATAGACCTTAACTTCAGGCAGAGACTGATCTAGTTGCTTAGCATTTAAGTCCGGTTTGCTTTTCTTCGCTTCAATCACTTTTTTACACGACTCCCTGCTCTTCAGAGAAATAACGACCGAACGCGGTCCCGCAAGGTTACTGCGGCGCGAACCAGCGACACGACGCCTTTTACCAACTCTAAACGCCTCCACCAGTTCCTCTCGACCCAGCGTAGCATCAAGTGCTCCAATCAGCGAGTTAGACAGTTTCTTAATGTCCTCACCATCCACTTCAGGTAACCCGCTGACAACTAGCTGGTGAGCAACCTGATCGCAAGCCGCACGAAGTAGGACAGCCTCGTCAGCTGCAGATAGCTTGAATTCGGCTGCATTTGACTCAACAGCATCAAGGCGACTCTCCAAGTTATCAGTTCGTGCTGAAACAGCTTCAACTTCAGCATTAGTTGCAGCCTGATTGGCCGTAAGCTTATTGAAGTCCGTCCGAAGCGCCTCAACTTCAGCAGCAACTTTGTTAAGTTTATTCCCGAATCCATCCAGCTTCTGATCAATAGACTCTAGCAATGAGAGAACCCTGTCATCAGTAACACTGCAAGCGGGACATTTTGTTTGCAGCTTGACTTTCGCAGCGCGCGTACTATCAACATTTAATCTGACAGCTGCACAGTCAGCATGGTAGCTATGTTTACAAGATGCCCCTGTGGTAAGTCCTTCTGAGGGACGATCGATATATTCGTAGCAAAGTACACAAGTTACCTTAGTCATGCTGATTAGAACCTTCGAATAATATACAATAGATGGAGCTGATTGGTAATAAAGAGTTCTGCAATTCAACCCACGTGCCGAACTTAACCTTTTTGCGAAAAATAGAGAACAGAAAACAATGTCTTATTTCACCTAATCAACGTTTTAGCTCATAAATTAATGTTCACCGTAACCAGAAAAGTACTGCAATCAAAATGGTAACACTTTTATATACACCCACTACCTACTATTTGTACACCTTTTAAAAAACTAGGAGCACAAAAAACACGTGCACTCTGTACAAAATCAGTAATAATAATACAATAATAATAATAATAATAATAATAATAATAATAATAATAACGTGAGCACTGGAGGCGAGTTATTCAGGGCTTTCCAATTTTTTCAATCTATTCACTCTTTCAAAAATTATTCAAGGTTAAAGTTGGATGAAGGATAAATTTTTTAATTTTCTTTCTTTTATTTCGACATTATCAATAGCTGAGCAAAATTTTGTGATTTATGCATTGAGAAAAGTTTTGTCAATTTTTTGATAATACACGCCATATTATACCTACTTGATAAGGATATAAAGTCAAGTTGCTGTCACTCAAAGTAACATTCAGTATAACCATTGGACTGACACAAACAAGAAAAAGAATACTCGTACTACTCAAAAGTAAAATAAGACGTCGTTCTTCTGAGAATGTTCTCAAATCTTCATCGCCACTATGCATAGTTCGAGATAAAGTCATTCTTCGTCTTCTTTCGCATGATTTTCTATACACAATCATTATCCGTAAATTAAATCCAGCGAGAAGTATTATTGGAGCTACTTTGAACACAACTTCTAGGACGACTTTGTAAATCTGGAATAATAAGAATAATAATATAATAAATGTATTTTTGAAATTAGAGTAATAAGTGTAACCAAAATATTTTACTTGGTAGAATATTGAGTGCATAAACGTCGAATTGTCGCGTTTTTGATAAATCAATGAGCCACCAAATGATACGAGACAAGTTGTTATTTCTCCTCTGAACACATTTGGTAGGTAAACAAGGAAAGTTACCATTGGTATTAGAGTAACTACCAGATGAGGAGGCCCACATAAGGGACGTGGATGTTGGCCTGGATGGCATACGCTTACATAGCGTTCGACTGTTAAAGCCAACAACATCATCACTCCTACACCTAATAATTTATCTATTAAATATTGTTGTTCAGTACGAAAATTAAATTAAAATTTGTTTAGTATTGAGAGAATATCTCGCAAGTAATTAACTTTTATTTTATTTTATTCCTTAGTGACCGCGTGTTTATTCTCAATCGAGTCACATGCCAGGGCCAATAAACTTTTTTTACGTTAAATGTTGATTATAACCATAATTAATTTATACACTATGTCTTGACAATTAAGTTACTTATTCAATATCTCTGTTTTAACGTCCACGTTTTCTAATAAAATAGCTAATTAATCACCGGCTCGAAATTTGTTCGCCGGAGTCCAGGGTCTTAAACGGGGATCGCGTCAAAATAACTAAATATAAACAAAACACTTCATTTTAAATAATAAATCAAAGAAAAGAAAACCTCTTTATTAGCCTGATCATGTTAATAAACAATATAAGTAGATTAAACAATATAAACAATACATTAGAACACTCTTTTCACATATATACGACGATATCCGCGGTTCAAAATCAATAATCAATATAAACAATGTAAGCAATATACACTAATACAATAGAACATTCTACCCAAACATACACGACGGTATTTGCGGTTCAAACTAAAAAACGCGGTCTACAAAGCACAAACTAGTTCCCCAATAACACCTCCCCCCCAGGGCGACTAGTCGTCAGCTCTGAGGGCCCTAAACTCTACCCCGAGAGCGAGTGGAGAGTTTCCTCCTTGCCCCCACTTACACGGCTTATGATCACCTACCGTACCTCAGCTGAAGGCCTGGGCCTTGGTCAGACTCCAGGTAGAGTATCATCCTCTTGAATTACTTGGTGAATATGGTCTTCAGCCGAGTAATCTTCCCGAGAAAGAATTGCTTGTCTAAATTTATTTTCAAAACGGTACTTAAAATATTTTTGAACCACACTACAAAAGAGAAATCTTCGCCCTCTATCAAGGCCCGCACAAGCTCAACAATCTGAACAATCGTCGAAAATTTCTTAGTTTTTATTTTCCGTAAAATAAATTAGTCGAATCGCTCATAATTATTTTCTATTATAATCATCATTCTTCCATTATCCATCCATTCCGTCGGCCAAATTCTAAGTATTTATTCTTTAAAATAATTTTTTACAAAATTATTTCTTTTCCATACTAAATCGGCTTGGGACTTAAAATAATTTCCCATTCTTTTAAATTCTTTACAATTATTTTCTTTTACTCACTAAACTCGCTCGGCTTCAAAATAATTTCTCACACTCTTCAAATTTCTAATTTAATCAAACCTTCAGTAACAATAATATAATAATATTAACTATATAACTACAATAATGAAAATTAATAATAATCGTCGTAATAATCATAATAATTGTTTGTATTGATTTTTAAGCAATTAATAATAATAAACAAAAAAACTCCTAAGACACAAATTAAATAACCTAGGTCACACTGTAATATCGAACGATTAACGAGAGAATTATAGTCTATAGAAGCAGTAAATTTTGAGCGTTTTTTTTATATAAAACAAAAATTATTTTTACTATTAATTTTTAACTACGCAGGTATTTAATAAAATTTTTAGAAAATACAAAAAAATTTTCAGAACAAAAATGTTTTTAATTAGAACTTTTTTGACACGAGGTTGACTCCTGTAACGTTGATTCTTTCACGCGGTAGATCTTCACGGCAAACTCTAATTCACTACGTTACACTTCGTCCATCTCGGCCATCTCTCGATCCTCTAGGAACCCCGACAGGCGCCAGCCGACTTTTGTTTCACCGGTATCGGCAACCGAAATACGATAACTTAAATTTTATGCTCCCCGCACACAGAAAAAAATCGAAGACCAAGAGCAGCCTCGACGGTAACGGAATACCTCGGTGTCGCTCAGTTATGCTGGTTATGGAGAGAGGGTCGTGATTCGGTCTCTCAGAGGAAGTAATGACCTTACAAAACGAGACTAAACGATATCTAGTACACTAATCGGTACTTTCGAACTAACACTCAACCTTCTTAATCAGAAAAATAAACTAAATCGATATCTAAAATATCGCGGGAGCAGTCCCAAACGAACACGAAACAAAGACAATGGCTCGAGCCATTCGTCTACGGTAATAGCAAGCGTGAGGCACGCCAGCTCCAACTCACTTTCACGCTACTCCCAGACACACAAACTTCCATACTCATTCCCCCATTCACACAACTTAGTGCCCCAGACCTACCAGTAACTCCGCTCCCCTGGGAGCTCAGACAGCACTCGCGACTACCCTCGAGCATCCAGCAATCGAGGCCTGTCAACCGCAAGCTACCGCATGAGCCTGGCTAACTCCTGTACTTCGGGGTGACGACATATCAGTCGCTCTTCCGCGGTAATCACCTCGCTCCAAGAGGCTGAACCGGAGTTCAGGCGTCGGTAACTGACCGCGCGACACGTTACATCGGTCACTTTTTCGCAGTGCAGCTCAACATCCTCGAGACAACTAACTTACTAGCACACACTCACGATAGTCCTCAATACTATTACATTACCTTACTCACAACATAATCTCGCATTCTCACGTAAACATACTACTACTGTATCGCTACATAAAATGTAACGTTACACATGGTATATCAAATTCTAACGAACGGTTTACTTAAAATTTAGAGAAAACCTTCTTTGTGCAACTCTCTTTCGCTCCTACAGAATTTATATCAGAAATATTTGTCTACTGTTTTTGAAGAATTCAAAAGTATGAAAGAATGCTATAAATAATTTTTTTTTCAAGATAGTTGCTTTTTTCCAAACATATTTTTTTTTTTTAATTTTCTGATGTGGAAGTATTTACGACATCTTTATGAACTAAGAATTTTTTTTTCTTTTTCTTATGACTATTGGAAGGGTTGGAATTGTATCAATTAGAACATGCAATTTTTTTACACCCCCCTACTTGTTACCAAGTATCGCATTCAATTTTTATTATTTGGAAATTTTTCTGTAAATCATAAGACAATGAAAATTGTCGTGCGCTTCCCAGCCAACTAGCTACCTGAAATTATCGTTACCGACACTGGTTAACTAAATTACGATTCCTGTGACGTCACAGACGACGCGGAGAGGAGAAAAATCGAATATCCAATGAAACCGAGCATTAATCAGGGACTTCGATCCTACACTTGACACGAGCTGCCACGTTTTTAATTTTATTGTAAATATTACGAATAACTTACCACTATCAGGCGATCACTTGCCAATTACCTATAATAATTATTTATATCAAATACTACCTATTGTTTATTTAAATACTATTAGGTGATTACTTGCCAAAAGTTTTGTTCATTAATTCCTAGACTAAGTTTATAATCATTCATAATTGTTCATTACTGAGCGTTACCACTGATGTTATAAAAGTGCGTTAATGCGTTCTAAAATTAATGAAAGTTATTTATTATCGACATTATAAATGGTGATCTAAAGTGGCTAAAGAAATTTAACTATTTGTGATCATGATTAATTATTGTAACCTGTCCTTTAAAATCATCCTTATGGAGTATCACCGGACCAATACGAGGAAAAATTGTAAATAATAAAAATTAGTTAAACTGACTGTGTGGGAGTTTTTTGGTACCATGCTGAACCTAAAATCAAGAAATAAAATAATCAGCAGAACAATTTGCATTGCTCTCATAAAGCAGTTTCTCGAGGGCTGGTCCGAAAATCTAATCGAGACTTAGATGATTGGAAGAGCAAACTGCAGGTTGTCAGTGGTTTAAGAAAAAGTTTTGATAAAATTATAAAATTTGTCCCAATCAATAAATATTTCGTAAAAATATATATTTTTTTTTTCATTGAACTTAAAAAAAAAAATTCAAAATTTACTGCCTTTAGACAAGCATTATTTATGAAGTAATTTTTGGTTGCATTTTTTTTTTTGAAAAATATTACCTAAGCATCCGTTTCCTAAAAAAAGTTCTAAATGGGCATGATAAAACGCTTGAGGCCAGTTATTCCATCTCCCTGTTTCTTTGTGAATAAGTACCCGTGAGGCAAAAGGAACACAGAAAAGTATTGCCAATAATGCCGCTGCTGAGTATCCTACGGAAATAACATAAAATTCAATAGTATTTATCAAAATATAAATTAATCTTTATTTTTATATGGAGTATAAATACACCGGTAGTTGACCAGTTACGAGTTTTTTTCGTTTTGTAATTTATTATTAGTTATTAGTTAGTTATTGAAGTTCATTACTCTATGCTTTGAAAGCATAGTTGAAAGTTTGTACCACCCATTAATAGTTCAATTTTAGAAACATATGGTGTAATTCAGTTCAATTATTATCAAAAACATATTAAAATGTACTTCAGAAAGTAGGCGATAGAAAAAAAATAGTAGTTGATCGTTGCACTTAAAAAAACTACTTGATATCAATGTAAATATTCTTTTCAGATTTTCACTTCTGTTTCAAGATATTCAGTTCTCTTATTATAAGAAACTAATATTAGTCATGTTCTTGAATTAAGAAAATAAAATTAAAGGCTAAGGAGAAAAAGTTTTTCATTGAAAAATTTTACGAATTTAATGAGCACTTTCCAGTAATGTATTTTTTACTTCCCGTTCTGAAAATCATTGATTTTCAAAAAAATCGGGAAGTTATTGGTTTCACCCCGGTTTTCGAAAAACAAGTTCTCATCAGATCTCCACGTTTTGAGGTCCTAGGAAGCTTTTTCTGACTATTCATACGGGGAAATCCAATCCACATATATATATATATATATATATATATATATATATATGTGTGTGTGTGTGTGTGTGTGTGTGTGTGTGTGTGTGTGTGTGTGTGTGTGTGTGTGTGTGTGTGTGTGTGTGTGTGTGTGTAGTGTGTGTGTGTGTGTGTGTGTGTGTGTGGATTTCTTATCCTCACACAGTACGGACTACTATATATATATATATATATATATATATATATATAGTGTGTGTGTGTGTGTGTGTGTGTGTGTGTGTGTGTGTGTGTGTGTGTGTGTGTGTGTGTGTGTGTGTGTGTGTGTGTGTGTGTGTGTGTGTGTGTGTGTGTGTGTGTGTGTGTGTGTGTGTGTGTCTGGACTGAGTCTGCTGCAGAACACGACTGAATCGTGTGCGCTCATGACTGAGTCTGGTGCACACACGACTCAATCTGGTGTAAACTAATTTTTCTTCTATTTTTTTTTGCACACGACTGAGTCTGGTGCAGAACACGAACCAGTTGGGTTTTAATCTTTTCGTGACAGATTTTTGAGCTCGCCTTCTACAAAATTGAAAAAAAAAAATTATTAGCTACTTTGTAAAATAATTTTTCAACTCACCTCGCATATAAATATATGCTGTTCCTCTCATATTTTTTCTTGTCAGAACGATAAGATTGAAAATATTTCCAATAATTCCTAAACAACAGATAGTAGGCAGAACTATTCCATAACTAACTCGTCTCAGTGATGCTGTTCTTGGGTCTTCTAACATCTCCAAATCCTCCAAAAGTACGCAAAGATGATTATTATTTCCACTTTCATTGAAGATATTTGTCATTATGATGCTTTCTTTCTAACATAAACTATGTTGATTTAAAGTTTTCATATTATGCATTCACCACTTTCTTTGTATACTTTCTATGTTATCTTTACATGTATTATCGATCTAAAATATGATTTCATATCTTCATTACTCATTGTACATAATTAAAACTATTCAAAATAATATTGTCAAAAATACTCACCAATTTGTCACATGATTTGAATTTATTACTTTAAAAAATATATTATGTCGATTGTTATAAATAGTTCTGTTCTTCTAATTATCGATTTTAAAAGTACTGTATATTTTGCTCATCGGTTAATTCGTATTTGTAGTTTGATTAAAGAGGCACGATAGAAAATAAGGACATCTATACGTTTCGACGTGATGTACATATCGTTTCCAACATTCTTGTATCCATCGCACGTCCGTCGCATTCGACATTCGCTGCAGTTTTAATAGACATGCTGACGAGAATTTTATCTGCTCTAGAATTTCATTTTCATTTTCATTTGCACACAAGAAGTCAGATAATAAGTGCTAGCGAGAGTTAAAGAGTGAAAGAGAATTATTATGTGTTACGACGAAAATTAATTTCATTTTTAACGCTTGTACCCACACTTGCTGTTGATTTTAGTTGCACCCTAGAAACAGAAAAAAAATAAACTGAAACCATAAAACATTTCAAATTTTTCAATCCTTACTTATCACACAGTAAAAAATTTTGTGTAATTGTGTAAATTAAAAACTTTTTTTTTTGGTTCTTTGAAATTTTATTGTGTCAAATTTTTCATACATATTATATCCATAGACAGCCGTTTTAACACAAATTATGTTATTTTTCATACTATTAGTGTTAATGATACACAAAATTTTTTACTGGGTAGTATAAACATGTGTTTGTATTTAAAAATTAGAATTTATAAATTTTTCTTTAAAAATAAGTATATTCATGCATGAGAAAATCCTCCACCTAGTAAGTGGTAGTAGTCATAACTTTATGGTATACATAGCATTAAATAGTCCCGGCAGATAGCCATTTCCTGACAACAAAACTTCCTAAAGCGATTTCTACGAATGTGCATTTCGCCATCAGGACACTATCGAGTACCGTATTTTGATGATAACAGACACTATCAGTTAAACTTCTCTTACCATTTTTTACATCAAATGGCCCTCTTAACCCTATTTTATATCCCAATTGTACAACAGCATTAAAAATTTGGAAATACCAATGTTTTGCTCAATAATTAGTTTTGTATTTGATAGATTTCTAAATTTAATGTTAAGAAAATATTTTTTACATTATCAAGAAACGGGCGATCCTACAGGTCTAAATTCACTTAAAAATTTACCTATTGCGAAGTTTTGAGTTCTTCGAACCCATAAATGCAGCTAACACATTTTTTAGGTTTCCGAAATTATTCAAAAAAACCCTTCTTTTTTAACTTCCCGCTAAGAAAATTGAAAATTTTCAAAAATCGGAAAGTTATTGTTTTCACCCCGTTTTTCGAAAATCGAGTTTTCGACAGATGACGTTTTGAGGTCCTAGGAAGCTTTCCTGACTATTTCCGCGGTGATGTCACCGTGTCTGTATGTATGTATGTGTGTGTGTGTGTGTGTGTGTGTGTGTGTGTGTGTATGTATGTAAATCTCTCATAACTTTTGAACGGATCATCCGATTCGATCAAAATAAGCGGCGTTCTGAAGAGTTCCTTTGCCCTTAGAATTCTGATACTAGTTTACAGAATTTGAGTCCATGAATTTTGAGAAATCTCAAAAATAAAATTTCCAAAAATTTGTTTTTTTGAAATATCTTTTAAACGGCTAAACCGATCGATTCCAAAAACTTATCAGCTCTTAACCTCAAAAAACTACGTCGATTGCCACCAGCCTGGTCGACTTCGGTTGATTCGTTCGTGAGATATCGTTGTCGAAAAAAATTGAAAAAAATTTTTTTTTTTCAGAATTTCTATGAAATTTTTAGTCTGACCAGTTTACGCTTGAAGATTCTCCAAAGAACTTAAAAAACTGCGTTGAGTGCCGTAAACCGCGAGAAAATCGGTTAATTCATTCAAAAGTTATTGCGGTTTGAAAATTCAAAAAATAGTGTTCTATGAAACTTCCATCAGTCTTTTGAGCTCGAGAGCTCAAAAGCACAGAACAGCTATTTATTTGAGCTCGGAGAGCTCAAAATCACACAAAAATTATATTTTTGAGCTCGAAGAGCTTAAAAAATAAGTGAATCGTTGAGCGCTTAGGTATGGTGGTGCGGGAAGTTGCAGGGATGGCCTTTAGGGTCAACCGTTTTCCTAATTTTTAACTTCCCGCTAAGAAAATTAAAAATTTTCAAAAATCGGGAAGTTATTGTTTTTGCCCCGTTTTTCGAAAATCGAGTTTTCATCAGATCTCGACGTTTTGTGGTCCTAGGAAGCTTTCCTGACTATTCCCGCGATGGTGTCCGTGCGGCTGTATGTATGTGTGTGTGTCTGTGTATATATGTAAACCTCTTATAACTTTTGAACGGGTCGGCCGATCGGATCGAAATCGGTAGCGATCCAAAGAGTATCATAGCCATTGAATTTCGTGAAAATTTGAATTGATTCGGTTCGCTCGATTTTTAGAAATCTCAAAAACAAAATTTTCGAAAAATCGTTTTTTTGGAATAACTTTTAAACGGCTTTACCGATCGATTCCAAAAACTAATCAGCTCTTAACCTTGAAAAACTACGTCGATCACTGTTGGACCGGTCAAAATCGGTTGATTCGTTCGTGAAATATCGAAAACGAAAAATTAAAAAAAAAATATATTTTAAAAAAATCTTTTAAACGGCTTCACCGATCAATTCCAAAAACTAATCAGCTCTTGAGCTTGAAAAACCACGTCGATTGCCAAGTCCCATCAAAATCGGTTGATTCGTTCGAGAGTTATCAAAAACGAAAAATTTCCAAAAAAGTTTTTTTTTCACATAACTTCGAGATTTCTTTTCGGATCGTTTTTGATGACATGAAATAATTATTAAAGCTCAAAAAATTACGTCGATCACCACCAAGAACGTAGAAATTGGTTGATTGGTTCGTAAGTTATTTTTCGAATTTCTCTAAGATTTTCAGTTCGATCAGTTTGTGTTCAAAAGTATATCATAGATTCTAAAAAACTGCGTGAATATCTGCCAATCGCATGAAAATCGATTCATTCATTTAGAAATTCTATCACACTTTTGAGCTCGAAGAGCTCAAAAGTATACAAAAGCTATTTCTTTGAGCTCGGAGAGCTCAAAATAACACACGAATTGTTTTTTTGAGCTCGAAGAGTTCAAAAACGTCGTAAGTGCAATTTCAAGCGTTTAGGTATGGAATTGGCGGGAAGTTGCAGGGATGGCCTTTAGGGTCAACCGTTTTCCAGATTTTTTTTTTTAATTTTACTTTTGCATCGCTCATAATTAACATCTGATAAATACATATCCTATAATAAAATTGAGATGAAATGTATGTGAAACCAATCTATTCGTGATGTGATTGGTCGAAAATAAATATTCTCATTCTGATTGGTTGAAAGTGAATATAATATACATAAACGACACATAAATATATCACGACAATAAACATGAGGCGCTTGCGCGCGCAAATTGAATTTTAGTTTTCCTAAATTCGGGATGACATTAATAGCGTTAAAATTTTCTAAAACTTAATTTTCTCAAAATTGTAAATTTAGCTGGGAAGTAATGTATAATATAATTCGAAAAAAATTACCATTGGTTGATTGCTTGCAGTTCCTGAATATACTGTGAAAAATTTCGGTGTAAAAATGGACCCGGAGCACTTTACTCGGCCGTGTAGTGGAAGATAACGGTGTTAAATTCTATCAGTGTAAATTTTCCATCCGTGTTATTTTAATACGTTGTAATCTACTCTTTCACACCATTGCGTGTTATACAATATATTTTTGTTTAATGAGCTCAAATCGATCAAAGTTTATATTGTGATGAGTGTAAACTCGAAATAAATTGTTCAACAAATAAACAATTAGGAAATGTTTTTTTGTACTTATCATTAAAGTATCAGTTACAGCATTTTTGTGAGCATCATCATGAATTCTGTCATACCCCATTCGTCGGCAAAAAAAATGTTCTTATGCCTTAGAAGATATACTTGATGGTTATCTTTATAAAAGTAATTAATCAACGGGAGATCTCCAAAGTATGATCAGTGTTAACTTCAGTATTGATGGAACTCGGCTCTTCAAAAGTTCAATGACATCAATAACACCTATTTTATGTACCATTAATGAAATTCATCCACACAAGCGTAAACAAAGAGTTATGTTAGTAAGTGTGTATTTAGGTTCAAAGAAATCTATAATGAATGAGTACTTAAAGCCCTTTGTACGTGAATCAGCATCACTGTTTAATGAAGGATTTGACTATGTTTATGGTGGCTCAACTTTTCATAAAAAATGTAGAATTTTAATGGGCGTTTGTGATTCAGTTGAACGGCCGGAATTAAGAGGGTCTAAAACTTTTCGAGGAATTTACGGATGTGGTCTATGTAAACACGAAGGTGAGGACATTGCTAAAGGAAAATGTCACATACGTGTCTACCCAATTGATGATAATGGCAACGCCCAAGGAGAAGGCCTCAGATCTCATTTAGAAACACTTATTCATGCTGATCTACGTGAAAAAAGTATAAAACATAGATCGTGTTGTGTCGAAAACTATCCAATGCGGATAATTCCCGTAATTGTTTTAAATTATACGATAAAGTTGGGATTAGGAAATTAAATAATAATACTTGGATTTTTTGGGGAACAATTTAGAAGAATTTATTTGTCCCCAAAGGAGGAAAACCCAGCTAGGCTGGGAAAAACCTCCTTGATGAAATTATACAAGTAAATTGTGTATCTGTAAGTGTAAATGTGTATAATTACGTTGCAATAACGCAATAGGGGTGAGCTCAGCCGCCTTAGATAGAAAATTATCGATAATTTGAATTAGATAAGTCCCAAGGTGGGAGCTGGTAATATCTAATTAATTTGAACTGTCTCAGAGTGAGAGCTATTAATGTTCGATTGTCTCAAGGTGAGAGCTAATAATATTCAATTGATAACAGAATGTTAGTCAATTGAGTTTGATGTTTTTCGTGTAGAAATTAGTCAAATGATTTGAAGTTAGAATTTAATTATTTATAAGTTGAATTAAATAAGATCGTAATTAAATGTTAATAATTGATTTAATGTAATTAATTGTTAACATCACGCGTCAATTATGGATTGACTAAATCTGCGTGGCTGATGCAATCCTTTGTTAACGGTGGCGCGTAATGGCCGCGTGGCGTCACTAAATAAATTTACTTGATTTTACTTATTTATGTTAATTCACTGAACTATTAAACTGATTTAAATGAATTGAAAATTTAAAGTATAATTGAATCTACTATAATTATTTATATTTAATGAATAATTTAAATATTTGAATGAATGTGAGATGCAAGTAAGAATTGTCAGAATTGATTAGCACAGAGAAGTCGTACTAGTACAAAAGTCCAAGCACAACTGTTGCAGCAGACCACGCGAGCCGGCTTCTCTACCGCTAACCAAGGCGCGCATGAGCGACGGCCATAGCGTAATACGATTATTCCCGAGTTTATACGATTATTCCCAAGTTTTAACAATTAAGCCCGAAGGCGTAATTCTTCTTATAAGTATTTGACTAGATCCTTTTTCTAGCGGTTAAACAAACTCCCCCGTTGCGAAGGTTGAGCAAGATGTTATGAATAGTGTTTACAATTAGTGATATTACATGATTACAATATTTTGAACTTACAGATTTTAAGAATTGATTGGTAACGGACATAACAGAGTAATATTCCGTTTGTATATGCCTTGAGCCGTTCGAATTGAAGCCACTCGTATTATGTTATCCTCTCCTGGATGAATCTCGATCACTACTCCCAGCTGCCACCGCATACAGGGTTGGTTTTTGTCCATTAGTAAGACAATTTGATTGACTTTAATATCCCCTTGATTGGAGTCCCATTTTTGCCTGGTCTGCAATTCATGAAGGTATTCCAAATACCAGCGTTTCCAGAAATCCTGTCGAGCCTTGACAGTGAATTGCCATGAGCTTAGTCTATTATCTGGAATGTCAGAAAAATCATTTTCAGGTAGCATAGTGAGAGGACGACCTATTAAAATGTGTGCAGAAGTTAAAGCAATAGGATCATTAGGATCACTTGACAATGAACATAAAGGACGGGAATTTAATATAGCTTCTATTTGTATAGCTAGAGAATTTAATTCTTCAAATGTTAAAAGTTGTTCTTTCACTACTCGTTTAAAATGATGTTTAAATGACTTGACTGCCGCCTCCCAGATACCACCGAAATGAGGAGATAAAGGTGGATTGAATTTCCAGATAATGTTTTTACTTATTGCATATTTGTTAACAATGTCCTGATGGGACTTAGAGTTGAATAGTTGGTAAAGTTCTATTAATTGATTATTTGCACTCACAAAATTGGTACCATTATCAGAATATACATGAGATGGAACCCCTCTTCTACCAATAGAACGTCCGAAAGCTCCTAAGAAACCCTCGGTAGTTAAGTCACTTACGATTTCTAAATGTACGGCCTTCGTAGCCATACAAACAAAAACACATCCATAGACCTTGACTTTAGCTCTGTTTCGAAATTTACGTTCCTTGATAAAGAGAGGTCCAAAATAATCAATTCCTACGTGAGAAAATGGCGGAGATTCCGAGACTCTAGAACTAGGCAAATCGGCCATTTTACTTTGCAAGAGAATTGGTTGATATCGAATGGATTTAACGCAATGTCTAATGATTTTACGTACTTGATTTTTGTCATCTAGCAGCCAAAATTTATGTCTAAGATTTGAAAGTGTACTCTGTATACCCGAATGGTACAAATTTTCATGGGTTTCTCTAATAATTAGATCAGTAACATAATGACGTGAAGGTAATAAAATAGGATGTTTTTTCGAAAAAGATATAGGAGCATGTTTCAAACGGCCTCCCACTCTCAATAATCCGTTTGAATCGTCAAATGGATTAAGACATCGTAATCGTAGATTTTTTGTTTCTCCGGCTCCTTTAATTTGTTTGATTTCATCATGATATTGTTCGTTTTGAATCAGAGTTAAGATTTTAATTTCAGTTAATAATTTTTCTTCTACGTTTAAAGGTTTGTGTTTGAATGGATTATCTTTTAACATTCGTAAACAATAGGAAAAGGAATTTATAAGTTTAGAATATGAAGAAAATCGTTTAAATAAATTGTCAGTGGAAGCTAGTAAACAAGTAATTTTTCGAACACCAGGAAGTTCAGAAGGAACTGCCGGCTTTAAGTTAGGCCAATTGAAAGGATCCTGTGATATCCACGTAGGACCTGTCAACCACATTTTGTTGTTTAGAAATTCAGAAGGAAGTTGACCTCTAGATAAGCAATCTGCCGTGTTGTCCTTGGTTCTGACATGTCACCATTCGATTTTACTGCAAAGAGTTTGAATTTGTGTAACGCGATTCGCTTCAAAGACCTTGAGAGTGCTGGGAGATCGCTTGAGCCATTGTAGTACAATAGTTGAATCAGACCAAAATGTGACTTTAGATATGTCAAAGTTAAATGAAGGAATTGTGTCTTTATATAATTTAGCAAGTAATAGTGCTCCACATAACTCTAATTTTGGAATTGTAACATCTTTAATGGGAGCAACTCGAGATTTGGAACAAACTAACTTCACGATCACGTCTCCATGTTTATTCACTGATCTTATATAAATGCAAGCACCATAGCCTACTTTACTAGCATCACAAAATCCATGCAATTGTATGTCAGTCGGATCAGGAATTAAAATATTTCGTTCAACAGAAAAGTCTTTAATTAGGGGTAATTGTTCGGCAAATTTACACCAGCGCAAATGCAATTCTTCTGGGACCGTTTCATCCCAATGGACCTTTAATTTCCAACATTCTTGAATGATGGTTTTTGCAGCTAATACAATAGGACCTAGAATTCCGATAGGATCGAAAATTTTTGCAATGTCAGATAAAATGGTTCGTTTAGTTATTTTTCGTGATGAATCGTTTGGATTGACTGTATAGATAAATTCTTTAGTTAGAGAATTCCATGCTATGCCCAAAGTTTTAGAGATAGGATCATCATTAATAGCACAATCTAAATCTAAGGTTCTTTAATCGAAAGTATCCAGTGCGTGTCGGTGATTTGAAGCCCATTGTCTGAGTTTGAATCCATCCTTTCGCACTAGTTGAATGATTTGGTCACGCAAATTTAAAATTTCGGTCAAAAAATTGGATCCGGTTAATAAGTTGTCGACATAAAGATCTCGTTTTAATATTTTTGAATCTACAGGAAAATTATGAGATTCGTCATCAGCAAGTTGATTCACAGTGCGTATGGCTAAAAATGGAGCTGCAGAAACCCCAAATGTAACTCGTTTAAGTTCAAAAGTACTAATATCGTTATTGTGGTAGTAAATGATTCGTTGATATTTATGATGATCCGGGTGTATGCAAATCTGTCGGTACATTTGAGCTATGTCAGAAGTCATAGCATAAACAAAGGTGCGAAAACGTAAGAGAATAGTAAAAAGATTATCTTGTATAGTAGGCCCGGTCAATAAGACTTCATTCAAGGAGATACCCTTATCGGTTTTAGCTGAAGCATCAAATACAACGCGTACCTTAGTGGTAGTGCTGAATGTTTTTATTATCGGATGATGGGGCATGTAATACCCCGGTTCACTATCATCCGGTACGTGTACCATGTGGCCAAGATTGATGTATTCATTCATGACTTTATTGTATTCGAATTTTAATGATGAGTCTGAATTTAATCTCTTCTGTAAAGATAGAAATCCATTTAGAGCCTTTTGTTTGGAATTCCCGAACTCAACATCGTCTGCGCGAAAAGGTAGTTTTACTATATATCGACCGTCTGAATCGCGAGTAGTAGTGTTTTGATAATAAGTCTCACATGTAGAATCCTCAATAGATCGGGAATCACTAGAACCTACGTCTTCAATAGTCCAGAATTTTATTAATTGACTCGACAAATCAGTTAGTTGACAAGTTACAGAAAATATATTTTTATCGTTTAATGATGAGTCTGAATTTAATCTCTTCTGTAAAGATAGAAATCTATTTAGAGCCTTTTGTTTGGAATTCCCGAACTCGACATCGTCTGCGCGAAAAGGTAGTTTTACTATATATCGACCGTCTGTATCGCGAGTAGTAGTGTTTTGATAATAAGTCTCACATGTAGAATCCTCAATAGATCGGGAATCACTAGAACCTACGTCTTCAATAGTCCAGAATTTTGTTAGTTGACTCGACAGATCAGTTAGTTGAAAAGTTACAGAAAGTATATTTTAATCGTCAATGGCTCCTCCCGCTACATCCCATTCTAGTTGCGTTTTTTGTAATATTAAATCACAATCGTTTTGTGAGCAGTTAATCTGTCCGACAGATAGCAGAGAAAGTGTGGTACCTGAACCGATAAGGACATCTACGGGTCTTGGTATATGAAATTCCGGATCAGCAAGTATTATCTTTTTAGGTATGTCTATTTTATTACGTGGAAAGATTTCATTTGGATTCAGCTCTGTAATTTCGTTAACAGTTAAAAATGATAATGATCTTTGAAATTTATTGTTTAAAGATTTACAATTTATTTGAACGACATATTTTGAAAAGGTTTGCATTCCGTTAACCGCCCCGATTAGAATAGAACAATTTTGCATTGGCAATTTTAATTTGTTAGACAAATTTTCAGTAATGAAATTAGCTGTTGCAAAGGTGTCAAGTAAAGCGCGAGCTTGTATGAATTCACCCGTTGAATCACGCAACTGGATGAGTGCGCTCATCATCAATTGGAAACGCGGTGTTCTGAGAATTGTCGTATAGTTGTGTACTACTAGTCAAGATGTAGATCCCTTATCAGTTGTAACAGTAGAAGGTGACTCGAATTTTACAGCATAGTTCTTTGAAGTATTTGGATTAGAGGGTTGTTGAGTTGTCTTTTGCTGAATGTGCAATTTGGTATGATGGAATTTCTTACAGGTTTGACATCTACTGCTGGAAGGACAAGTTCCTTTGTGTTCGCGAAGACAATTATTCCAAAGTTTAGCAGATTTTACAAATTTTATGCGTTCTCCTATAGTTAATGCATCAAACTTATAACATTTATAGAGCGGATGAGATAGTTTGCAACATGGACAGGCAGTAGAAGTGGTTGTTACTAAAGCTCGGACTGGTGAGTCTGTTTTTTGTTTCTTGAAATTATTACTCGAAAGTTCATTACGTCGTCTTTTAAAAGAGTTATCGGAGTCGCGCTGTTTATTAGGTTTACGTGTACTGAGTCGGAAAGCATTTTTTATTATAAATTTGCTAAATGCGTCAAACGTTAGGAGAGTGTTATCGTCTTTATACGTTTCGTCCCATTTGTCTCTAATTTCTGTTGGTAATTTAAGTTCTAATAATCTTACTATAAATGCGTCAGTTGTGTTTGCTTTTAATGATTTTAAGTCATTCAAGTGTTGTCGAGCATCATCTATGAATTTAGTAAGATTTTCATTAGTCGGGGTTGATATTGAATTAAGATTTAAAAGAGCGTCATAATGTTTAAAAACTAAAGCGCGCGCTTTCTGATAAGTTTCTGTTAAAAGTTCCCAAGCCTGTGTATTGGGAAGTGCTCCACTAAAATACGCTATCTGATGGTTAAAATATGAACTAGCGTAACCGGGTTGAGTTTATAACAGCTGATGTTTTCTGCATGCTATAAGTGAGAATTCAAAGTTTAAAAATATTTTATGTTGTGTCAATTACAAGTTTTACGTTTATTGGTAATATTAATTGCAAACCTAATTAATTATTTTTTGAAAATATCGTGATAGTTAGTGACCATGGAGTTTCCTCCTCGAAAAAATAAAAGCAAGACTTTTTGTTGTGTTTATGGATGTAACAGCAAGTCTTGGAGGGATAATACAATTCGATTTTATAGTTTTCCAGCTGCTAACAGTAATTTAGTGAAAATAATAAATAAATTCGGCGAGGATCAAATAATAGATCGTCGATTGGCCTGGATAAAAGCGTTGAAAATTGGAAATGAGGTTACCCAATATAAAAGTGTATGTTCATTACACTTTACAAAAAGTGATTATTTACCAACATGTAAGTTATAAATTCATTAAATATTATTTTTTAACTACTATTTTTTTGTTAAAAAAACATATTTGTTACTATAATTATTATTTCAATGAAATAACATAAAAATAAAATCAGCAGACATCTGATCATTTTTTTAACAATTTATAAATTATTATTAAAAAAAATTTGGTCAAATTTACAATGATGATGTTTTTTTTTATTTCTGTTGATAGAATAATCAAAAAAAATTTTTATGATTTATTTATTGAAAAATCTAAGCAATTATCAGACTCCTATTAGTTTCTGTATCATTTAATAATTGTAATAAAAAGGATGACTCGTGACAAATGAAATCTTTTGTTTGTTGCAGCTAACGTTAATCAATTACGTTTCCATTTAAAAAAAAATAGTGTTCCTTCATGCAATCTTCCTGAAACATCACTATCAACATTCAACCAACCAAATTTGGTTCAAATTGACGACAGAGATGAAAGACGTCGTAAAAGATCATTAAAAAAAAAGTCTTTTCTAAATGAGGATACATCTGAGATAAACTCTGTACTTAGTGATGACAAAACCGGAGATACCGGGGATTCATCTTGTCAAAGTCAACTTTGCGTCGAATCAGCTACTGAAGACTTATCTTTTGTTCAAATATCTGCTGTAGACGAAGAAAAGCAAGAACAAAATTATCCTTCTACGATGAAAATATTTAAAGATATTGGCATTCAAGTTGAAAGTGACTATTTAACTCCGAAATTTTCAACTTGCATCAAGAGTGATCAACAGCTCAGTACATTAACCGGGTTATCAAGCTTTGCTATTTTAAATACCATAGAACAGTTAGTCATAAAAGTACAATCAATGCGAGGTACATCCAATTCCTCAATTAAGTTTGACTTGCGTGAGTTGCTTATCATGACTTTCATGAAATTAAAGCAGAATATGAGTTATTCTACTTTAGCCATTTTTTTCAACTTTTCAAAAAATGGCTGTAAAAGTCAAATTTGGAAAATGATTGATATTTTGTATCTTGCTTTGAAGCCAAGCATTCATTGGCCAAGCAAAGAAAATATATTAAAAAATATTCCCTTGTGCTTTAAAAATTTTGAAGGCGTCCGAGTAGTTGTTGATTGTACGGAAATAAAGATTCAAAAACCGTCGAAGTTATGCTGTCAATTGCAAACTTATTCGTATTACAAATCTACTTATACCGTCAAATTCTTGACCGGTGTAACACCTGCTGGAACAATTTTTTTTGTAAGCCGTGCTTATGGTGGACGTGCATCAGATAACACAATATTTGAACAAAGTAATATTATTAATATGATGGATAAAAAAGATATCGTATTGGCAGATAAAGGATTCACCATGCACGACTTCTGTAAGAAATATGATGTTACATTATGTACACCGTTTTTTTTTTGAGAGATAAACAACAATTTTCCAAATCAGAAGCGAATATGAATCGTTACGTTGCAAAAGTTCGTGTCCATGTTGAAAGAAGTAATCAACGAATAAAAACCTTTGATGTTCTTGGTTCAACTATGCCTGTATGTCTATTAAGTAAAGTTGAAGAAATTTTCACAATTATTTGTGGTGTAGTGAATTTGAGTGCATCAATTTTGAAAAAAAATAAATTTCATAGCGAAAATATTTAATTAATATATTTAATTTTTAAAACTCACAAAAAACAGTTATAATAGTTTTAAACTTTATTACAAATCCATATATATTTATATCATTTCAACAAATATAAATATTGTTATAATTGCAAAAAACATTATAATTTACAACTGTAATAATAAAAGTTAAATTTGTATTGTTTATAAAATATAAATATTTTGTAATCATTAAAAACAATTATCCTTTTACTATTTTATAGTTTAAGAAATAATTATTATTAATATTATTTTAAAAAAGAAAAATAAGTTAAGATCTTTAAAAAGATAAATATTTTTTGAAATCAATAAAAAAACAATTATTATTTATTGTTATTATTATTGTTAAGAGTTTGAGTATCAAATATGTTGTGAATCATATGATTAAAATAAATCCTTTTCAAAGAATGCAACAAATCTTTTGCAAAAATTTCATCAAATTCAATAGTTAATACCATTATTTTATTATCAAACGGAGTATAAATAATGAAATCAGTTGTTGGTAAATTTAGAACAGCCATGCCTATTTGAATTTGAGAATAATACATGTGTTTTTTTTTCATATTCCATGTACCATTTTCATTCACTAACCACTTTAATAAAGGAATTACGTCCTGCAAGCTTTTCTTTTTCCCCTCATAAGGACATTTAATCTCGATTAATTTAATAGGTTTATTATTTTGATCAAAAACGACACCATCAGGTGAATATCCAAGCCAGAAGTTATTGTGGCAAACAACGAGACCACATTCAATTACCATCACCGAAGGTTCAGACTCATCATAATTATTTCGAGCTAATGGCTCGTTTTTTAAACCGTGCTGTGTATAAGAATTATTTATCGGATTAGAATAAAAGTATTTTAGTGATTTCTGTTTCCAATCCGGCTTTATATTATTTTTATATGTATATAACTGGTAGGAATCATTACCAGTAATTCTAAATTGTCGTTCTTTTAACCAGGCGGAATGAAACTCCATAGTTTGGATGCAAATATCAACAACATTATCGCTTAATTTAAAGGTTATATTTTTACAGCAATCTTTTAAAGGATTTACTTTAACCTGTTCTAGCTGTTCGAGAAATTTTGAACAACGTTGATTTTGAAAAATAGTGAGAATTTTAGAAGAATCACAGGTAGAATTATTAGACACCTCTTGTAAAGCCTCATGCCGTCCAGCTCTAAAGAAACGAAAAAATCAAAGAATAAAATTATTTAAAGCATTAATTGATGTACAAATCCAATTTAGACCAACAGCAATTCTACAAGATAAAAAAAAAAAAGAAAATAGATTTTCTAAAACCATTCAACTTATTTATAAGCAATTACGTGTGTTCACTCAATGCACTGCAAGGTAGATTTAACACCATCATGTCGAAAAGTATTTTATTTTCTTCTTCAGTTAGTTCTAGTTGCTTTCTAGGTTCCGTTGCTTCACAATTTTTTTTTTTATGTTTTTTACTTGGAGCATCCAAAATTTTTTGTTTTATTAACTCAAAGCAACTATGTTGTGCTAACGGATTTGGCTCATATTTTTCCAGTGCTGCTTTTTGCGGAGCACTCCAAACGCACTTTTTATCTGTGCAAGTAATAATTTGAAGTTTATCATAATCATTTCTAAAATCATAAAATTTTATTTGAAAAATAATGTTAAAAATTAAAAATACTATATAGCTTTTATCGTGATAACAGTCATAAATATATTTATAAACAGAAAACTAACCTATTACAAAATAGAAGTGTTGCGACTATATGCTTACATGCTTCACTTAACCCTGCTTTACATGAGCATGACATGCCCATAATCTGACCAGTTTTTGCAATTGCTCCAACAATTTCATGTGGAGCATCTTTTAAATGTGACGTTTGTAAACAAAACGCTATGATGTTATACACCTCATCAAGATTTCTGTCAGATGGCTGCAGCCCACATTTAATTAAATGCCCTGCTTCGAGAATACTTTCTCCACCAATAAAACTTTTATGATTAGGTTCAGCACATGCGAAATTACAAATTTCTTGAATTGCGACTCTCATATTATTAGATATTTTTTTAAAAACTGTATTTAAAAACGAAATAAACAAGCACTACTATATAAACACGTGTCATCTGATTTGAAAATGCCCTTTAGAGTAGTTAACGCTTCTGCCGCAAGGAGAAACCACGCCCCCGGGAGATTTCCCAATAGTTTTCTGCACTTGCATTCAAAAGCGCGAGCTTGTTTGCAGCAGAACCAGTTAAACATCCGCGAAGGTATAAAAACTTATTAACATGTAAAAGTTATTCTTGCGCCGCCTGGCGTGTGTAATTGCAAGTTGTCAAATATCTTTTTTTCACTGTAGTTTCCCATCTATTATAAGATTAGCATGCATCCTTATATTATTTAGTCTCTGGCCGTCCGCTTTTTACATAAGGAAAAAGTTAAAATCTAAAAATCTGGGTCGCTATAGTTTGTGCTGATTATTTTTAATAATTTGAAATAGAAATTATAAAGATAATTGATAACAATCAAGTAATACGTGTAATAAAAAGCATGAATTACTATTATAAAATATCATATAAGAAAAAATCAAAATAAATTTGAAAAAAAATTTGTAACCTCAAAAAACCGTTCTGCTTACGGTATATACACACTCGGTAGTCTGGCTTGAGAACGGAACTTAGCGTCAGACTCTATCGAGTCTGTTGAACACTCGGTAGTCTGGCTTGAGAACGGAACTTGGCGCCAGACTCTATCGAGTCTGTTGATAAATTTTTTTCTGTGATTAATTCATTAATTATTTTTTCCTCCTATTCGGCCCTCTGTAACTTCGTTTCTGTTGAGTTTAGGAAAAAAATGGACATAAACAATTTTGTAGAGAATTAAATTTCCTATAAGATAGTTAAGAGCAAAATTGAAAAAAAAATTTTATTCGCATAGTTATTTGAAAAATAAAAAAAAAAGAAATTTTACAATGTTATTTAAATGGGAAAGGGGACCCCCCCTTGCGCCAGCTCAATTTTCGAGATATTGAGCTCAAACTTTAGGAGAATTTTTTTTTTATATTGAAGAAACTTTTAAGATACGCTTAATCGAAAAAAAAAAATAAAAACTTATTTTGACACAGTCTAACATACATACAGACACGGTGACATCACCGCAAAAATTGTAACGGAGTGTTTAATCCCTGTATTACTCACGTGTGGTTTCTGGCCCGCGCCAGTTAGTTGATCGACGGATCACAGGGCGCTGTGCTCCGAAGTACTCGCGCCACTAGTTATAAGTAGTAAGTAAGTCCCCGAGGGGGAAGCGCTGGCGCCGAGAGAGAGAGTGGGGAAGGCAGAGTGAAGAAAGAACTACAACGACAAGACCAAGAAGACTCATTGTGACCGAACAGTCTCGTTGGACGCATCGCAACTTTTAGTAAGAACTGAGCACAGGTAATTATTTTATTTCGCTCACCTTAAGTGGAACGAAGCGATAAAAAATTAATTGATTTATTGCTTGCTAGGCCGCTTGTCAGCTTGCGTAAATTAATTTTAATTTGTAATAAATTCTAACGCCGATTTGCGGTTACAGGTTCAAGAGAGATATCGAGAGCACGAGTGACGGTGACCGGATTTTCGCCGCCAAGCAGTAACCCGAGGAGGTAATTGCCGAGGATTTATTCGAAGGAAAAACTTACACCAGCCTGGAAAAGGAGTTGCAGCTCGTCGAGGGAGTGCACGAGTGTTAAGATAATAAAACGTAAAACTCCAGGTACAATTATCATGTCTGATTTTATTTCTCGGGTCGGCGGCGTCAGCCAGGCAACACGTCGGCTGAAGGTCACCGCCATTTCGCGTTCGGTCACAATCGCTAGTCATTAAATTATTTAATTAAGTTTAATATTAATATTAGAAAAATTATAAGACAAATAATTAATAGTACTAGGTTTATTAATTAATTTGTTTAGGAAAAGTAACTTGTCTCTGTTATTACGTATTTTACACGTAGGCCTGTCTGGGTTGATAATACTAGGCTTTAAGTCGGGTTATTAATTCCAGATTTTCGCCATGTGAAAAATTTATTTAATTGAGAATTGATAGACAATAATTTGGCTTAAACCAATAGAAAATAAAATTAAGTAAACCGTAAAAGTACGATTGTTTAAGTTAAAATTTATTTCGATCGAAAGTTATTTGTATAAATTATTTGGCGCATTAATTAATAATTGTTTTAATTTAAAGTAAACGTAGAGTCAAGAAATAGTTATTAAACCAATAGAATTATCAATCTAAATTAATTAGTCAAGAAAATAGAGAACATAAAATTTGTAAAAATTTCATCAGAAAAAAAAAATTACATGAGTCCTGCGACAAAGACGCTAGACCGAGCGAGACCGTCAGCCATCTTGTCCGTGTGAGAAAACGCTGAGTAGAGGACACACAAGGTCGCAGCTAAGTCTCTTAGTCATTGAAATAGAATAAACTCGAGTAAAATAAAATGTTAAGTTTTAAGAAATACCAAATATAATACAATAGGATAATCTCTTGTCGAAATTTAACTTTTGCGTCGAAAAATAAATCTAGTAAAATGTAATGCCGATTACTGGGAAAAATAAAATAACTCGGAATAAATTAATTTGGATCGGATTAAATAATGTACGAAATCTAAGTTTACTCAACCAGGAATTTAGAAAGATTAAAATTGAATTAATAAATTACTCGGATAAAATGGATTTAGTCCTAGCTATTTTGAAATTTAGATTTAGATAATTACTGTTGAGTAATTGAGATACGGCGGTAATTTAGGCGATAAGAAATTGTTAATTGTATTTGAAATTCGGAAAAGTATAAACCGGAATTTTGGAAAATTTAATTAGATAAATAATATTATGGAAATTGTTTTATTTTGTAATTCGAGCGCTCTTATTATTATTGTTATTATTGGAATTTGGAAAATAGTGTGTTTGTGTGAGAGTAAAGAGACTATCTCGGTTTCATGGTATACTCCTCTGGCTTCGGGGTAGTTCTCTTAGAGTAGCGTGAAGTTTGGGGGACAGCGTGCGCTGTGTGGACAACGTGTGTAGTCACGTCAGAGGTCCAGCTCAGTGGCGTGAGAGTCCGTGAGACCGCGCGAACTAAGTTAGAGTAGCGTTAGAGGTCCAGGGGACGACGCGAAGTAGATAGAGTATCGTGAGAGTCCAGTAGGCATCGGGTACTACAGCCACGTGAGGGTCTAGCTGGACAGCGAGAAATATACCGAATGAGTGTGAGTGTGAGTGTGGATTGTATCCATGAAGCTTTATATATTGTAATACTGGCCATATTTCAATTGTAAGAGGGATTGGATAAATAAATAATTTCTGTTAAATGAATTTCTGTGTTTTAATCCTAGCTCCTTTCAGCAATTCTCTCACGACCCTGACCTAGCACTCCATGTTCTGGTCCAGTTTCTGGAAACTGAGAACGAAAATCCAGTGGCGCCCTTAAGAGTAAAAGGGGCGACCAAGGGAAACATAACATCCCGTTTCAAAATAGTCAGGAAAACTTCCTAGGACCTCATAACGTCGTGATCTGATGAAAACTCGATTTTCGAAAAACGGGGTGAAAACAATAACTTCCGATTTTTAAAAATTTTCAATTTTCTTAGCGGAAAGTTAAAAAAGTATTAATTGAATTACTTTATTTTTGCAGTTTCGGCGTCACTTTCGTATTCAAAGAAATACCTGTAACAAATTGATTCAGATGTTTGCTGAAAGTCAATTTTATTGTAATGCTGATACTCCTAGTCCTATGGCATCAGCTGAAACTCATGTACAGTAGAACCTCTATAACTCAAACTCCAAGGGAGAGGCAAAAAAATTCAAGTTATACAGTTTTCGAGTTAAAAAGGATTTCGACTTAGGCGGATTTTGATTCGACATAAAGAGGTTGAGATTCATTTTTATAAATTTTGAGGTAGAGGGGTAAAATAAATAAAAATTCAAGTTTTAAATTTTAAATTCGTATTAACGTGAGTCATTAATTTGGGTAATTCTATTCATTGTCTACTCCTAATAAACAATGGTGCAATGATAAAAAAATTAACTGGACTCAAGAGCCTTAATCTTGAACTAAGTCAAGAAATTAATCTTGATGTAAGTAAATTATTCTTTTCATAAGAATTTATTCTCTTGACTCAAGAAAATCATTTTCGTCAAAATTTTATTCTTGGTTCAAGATTTTGGCTCTTGAGTCAAATTAATTTTTTTATCAGTGTGTACTTGCACTGTCGGCAAATTCTTGAAGGTGTTAAAAGTCTCAAACAATCAAGTTGTAGATGTTATAAAATAAAACATTGCTATGTTCGAGATACAGAAGTAAAATATAATTTTTCGAGTTATGGAGGGAAAATATGTACATAAATAGCTTGTAGGGACTCACTAATTATTTCGACTTATAGAGGTTAAGAATTTCGAGTAACGGAGGTTTTGGGGCTTGGAGGGAAGGGGATGAAACATTTCTTCGAGTTAAGGAGGTTTTCGACTTATCGAGGTTCTACTTTATATATAAATTTTCAATAAAAAACTTTCACTTTAAAAATAATAAATTAATTGATAATTACCCGATTCATCGACAACTTGATACAGTGTTTGATCTCCTTCAGTAATAACCTCGTCATTTTCATTATAACTTACTCCTTTAATTAACATTTTCCACAGTTTATTAATACAAAAAATTATGAAATATGATTATTAACTTTTTCCAGTCTAAAACATGAACGATATCGTATTCACATGTATTTTTAATAATAATATGATGATTATTTATATTACTATATTATTCAGTATGATGTGATAATGATGTGACATTAGCTGTTGGCTTTCTGACAGGCGAATTCACACTTATTTTCAGGTCAATTTGTCTTTTGTTTACCGATTTGAATTTTTAATTTGAACTTTCCGCGTCAAAAAACAAAAACAGTCGACGCCCCGGGGCACCAGGGCAGCGGGTCCGGACACACTATAAGTTTTAAGCGATCGAAGTAGGAATTTCGATGTAATTCCGAAAAAACATTTTTTTTAGTTTTTAGTCAACAGCG